TGATTTCCTTTACTCACATGGTAGTACAAAATAATTTTCATACATCTAGTTTATTTTCCTTGAAAAATGATTAATAACTAATTTTTGTAACTATTTCTGATCCAGTGTAAATGCTACGTTCTCAGAAGAGATACGTAACCTGTCTAGGGAAGATACAAATACGAAAACAAACTAAAAACAATCTTTTTATAGGAACAACGAAAGTCTCAAGAGTGTCTACAGAAACGAATACCCGACTATTCATGGTTGATTAGTGAGAATTCACAGAAACCGAAGAAGTATCTAACAATGAATGTAAGTTCGTATGGTTAGACAGATCATTTAGAGTACAGACAAGCTCTCAACTTTCTTGGAAATCATACAGATTTTGCGATATGTTTAGGAACGAGCTCGTCTTACCCGAGCTTGCGAACGTCTTCGTGCTAACGAATGGTCAAAGCTCATCAATCTTTGGAAAGCGAGGTCCAAAGTGGGTGGCTTTGGCAAAGTGCCAAATACATGTCTGTCCCTTCAATGGCTCTTCTTCTAGAATGCTTCCTCACGCGAACACATTTTCGACAGTTTCATCTCGTCCGTTCATGAAGTAATCCTATCAAGACCGCGTCCACCAAGTGTAGGTGATGTCCTGAGAAAATACATGCGAAGTGCAAGCAGCGTCAATGCGGTAAGTGTAGGTTTCCGTAGTCCTGGGTGGAAGGGAATACTGTAGCTCTATCGAAACAATGGAAGTGATTTTTCAGGTAGCGGATTCGCCACGCAGTCAAATCGACTCACCGCGTTCTTTGGCTAACTTCTCCTTCCGTGAGCTGAACGAGATTGTCTAAAGATGATCAAACTCTCAAAAATTTTGAGCTATGTAATAATTGATGTTATTACAAAGTTTTGTCCATGAAAGACCACAAAGGAGCTTAATTTTTGAGCTATGTAATTGTTCGAAATAACTTTGTGTGTTTTCAATCTGTCCTGCTCTCAGTTGTGTAATCTCAATCTTTATTTTTCGATAATTGTGTGGTGCTTTGATATTATTTTGCAATAAAATGAATTTTGAACATATATCAGAAATTATCAAAAAAAGTTTTGCAACTGGAATTCAACTACTTTCATATAGTCTTCCCTAAAACTCAAAATAAACAGAACTGCTTGCTGACTGAAATTATAAAGCGTCTGCGTGGAAAATGAGAGCATCAGCATCATCGGTATTCTGGATGTAATTGTTTTCGGTTTTGCACACCATCTCCTATAAATGTCTA